TCTTTGCAGAAATCATTTTTTATGTCATTTTATTCCGCGTGATGTTTAAATGACATGACGGCTCTCTCACGTGCGGCAAACTGAAATAAATAACAATTTTTGCGAATGTGTAATATATATTTTGCTAGATTAATAAATAATTGACAAAAGTGATAATTGAGTATACGCAGAGAATTTTTTTTTTTTTTTCAATTTTCCCTGTGTGGCCCCAATGAGGGTTCAGTGCAAAGCTGAACCAAACAGTATGAGCTAGTTACATAGTTTATTTTGATTGTTGGCCTATTTTTTAGATCCAATTAGATGTTTGATTTGTGTTATTGTAAATACTTATTATGGTGTAACTCTTTGTGTGCTGCATTTTGAAATCTTAATAAGATTATTCTTTTTCTATCGTGGATGCAGCCGACGTCCCTCGTTGGCGAACCATGTAATTATGTATTTGTTGATTGTTTTTTATTTTTTTTATTATCTTTATTGTATTCGTCACAACATTATCTAAACAGTTCTAAAGAGGAAAAATTCATTGGACCCAAAATTTTTATTTCTTTGCCAAATCAAAATGTGAAGACTAACATAAACACACCAAACAAATTAAGTTTATGACACCAACCCATTCCTCCTTGTTTGTCCACTTGGGAATTCTTGCACATATATATAGCAAAAATAATTTCTACAAATTCACATATCAAATTAAGCATCCAATCCACAAACTATATAAATGTGCCCATGAATCATAGCCCTTTAGTTTCCATTGAAAAAAATAAAAATAAAAAATAGTATGTTGTAATAAGAAAGTAGCTAGACCTAACTTTGCATGCCCCATAAATGCACACTAAGCTAATTAATTTAATTTTATTGCATTCATCATATATATATATATATATATAATATTATCAACCTTTATTTTATTTTTTTTACAAATATATATATTTCTCAAGTCATAAATATTTTCAACAAATAAAGTATTCCAGTATCATGCAATGCCAGAAAACTAACCAATGGATTGTAATGTCAATGCAGAAGATGGTTTGAACAGAAATTTTGATAGAAGAAAATAGTAAGAAATTGAATTGAATTGAATTGAATTGCATGTGTACAATAACATGGACATTGGCAAATTAATTAATTAATGGCCCCACTTCTTCCTACATTGAATCCATTGTCGAACTTCTTTGTGCAGTGCAGACCAAGAATTTTACAGACATCAAAATAGGTGGCAATGAAATTGATCATTTTATCACTGATCTTTGTGTTTCTACATATATAGAGGAAGGATATATATATATATATATTTATCTAAGCATATGTAATTAATTTGCTCATTGTAATTTATTTAATTAATTAAATTTCTTGATGAATGTTGGAGATAGATCGATCCATCGATCCCATCTTTTTAATTGTTTGTGCTATTTTTCAAGTTCTGAATGTTTTTGGTTTAGTTTGCAATTTTATTATTATTATTTTTTATATATTTTTACCGCGATGATTATTTGTTTATTGAAGAGAATATGTTTTGATGAATTCAAGACTTGCAATTATTTATTTATTTTTTTTGAAATTGTGAGGGCATATAATTTTGTCAAAGGAAATACACTCGGGATCTTTTGCAGAGTTATGGTCAGTTAGGTGCCAAACCCGCTCGTACACCAATGGATCCAAGTACGAAATTATGTCAAAGAAATGGGATAGCATTGAAGGATCCAACCTATTACATGCAGTTGGTAAGTAAGTTGATCTATCTCACCTTCACTCGAGGGGACATATCGTTTGCGGTCCAGAGCTTATCACAATATATGCATGAATCGACAGACATTCATCTTCAAACAACATTCAAGATATTTAAGTATCTGAAAAACAAACCAGAGAGGGGATTGTTCTTCCCAACATCTTCTTCCATGACACTTACACCTTTACAAACAGTGATTGGAGTGCTTGTGTTGATACTAGAAGATCAGTAACTGGTTATTGTATATTCTTGGGAAAGGCACTTATCAGTTGGAAGTCCAAGAAACAAGATGTGGTCTCGCGAAGCTCAACCGAAGCAGAGTATTGGGCTATGGCTGCTTGTATGTGTGAAGTCATATGGCTTCAGTCCTTGACGAAAGAACTTGGGATGACATTGATTGATACACCAATTTTGTTGTGTGACAATAAAAGCACATTGCAGAAAAGTAAAGAATCCAACGCATCACGAGAGGACCAAACAATTTGATATTGATCTTCATTTTGTTAGGGAGCGAGTACAAGGCAAAGAAATTGATGTTGCTTATAGTCCTACAAAGGAGCAGCTTGCAGACGTTATGACGAAGCCCTCCTTCCTAAGTATATAAGCTATATTTTTGGAGACGTAAATATTCAAGAAATGAAATCCCAAAACTTCCCAATTCTCAGCGTTTGATAGCCCAAGAAATTAATCAAGAAGGAAAAACCTCTAAGTCAATAACTTTTCAATCTAACTAATTTTTTGTTTTTAAAATTTTTCCAAAATAATCATTAGATCTAATATTCATTTTTCATATAAAATTATTGGCCTGAAACTTGATCGAGAATATAAGAAAAATAGGCCTCTGGACTATTGGACACAAACTCAAAATGTTAAAAAAAAAAAAAAAAAAAAAAAACTGTTTTTCCTAAGTCCACAATGGGTTACACCAAATATTTCATGTTAAATAATCAATTAATCATAAAATATCATAAGGATAGATCATCCAAAACACTTTTGACACTATTCAATTTAAAAAAAACATCGTATCAAATATATCTTTTCTCTCGTAAAACATCAAATCAAATACTAACTTTTTGGCTATTTTCAAATTTTCAAAATTCCAAAAATCTCCAGAATCTTCTATCTAAACAAACCCGAATGAATCATCGATTGGGCCAGCCCAATTCATCACATTTTGGGCTCGAAACCTTTGGGCCAATTATGTCGATTTGAATGGCTAGACTGGATGGGAACCAAGTTGCATTACTTCAACACAACTCAATTCTATCTGATCGATTGGAAGTCTTTGGGATCAACCTTCTTTTATTGATGATTTTGAAATTCTTGCAGCTATTTATCAATAATATTTTTTTTAAAAAATATCAAATTAAAATTTTTCTTTAAAAAAATATTATATGGAATATCCAATTTTTTTTTATTTTCTTTTTTACAAATTTTCAAAACTTCACAAACTTTTATATCCTAAAAAATTTACATCCAGAATAAACTTAATAATACAACACACCAACAATTGTCCAAATCTATTAAAATAGATAGGCAGGCTAATTGGGCCCAAACTAAATTATAGCCCGAGTCGGCCCAACCCGAACACTTTGTTCTATATATATATATATAAAGCAAATGACCAACAAGTAACTCTGAAATAACAGTAATACAAGCTTGTACATACATATATATATATATATATTTACATTGGTAATTCTAAAAATAATAAATATAGTAAAAATTAATTTTTATTTTAACTAAACTATTTAGTCATTTTAATATTAATTTATAATTATTTTTATTAATACATTTTTTAATTACTTATTAATTACACAATACTTAAAACTTTGTGTCTAAATTAAATGGGACAATTAACTAGGAAGGATGAAGTAATTAATATTCCCTCCGTCTCAATTCAAAGTATTATTTTTTATCATTTTCGTCTGTCTCACTTCAAAGTACTTTCTTTCAAAAAGTAATCATACACTAATATCAAAAGACTCTTAACTTTTACTTAAATTATAAATATATTATTTTACGCATACAATTATTTTATACATAAAGTCAAAATAACAAAATGTTAAAAATTCTTACATATTTCTAATAATAATATAATAATATTATTTTTTAATTTACTATAAAACCCCCAAAAAATTTGATTGAATTGAGACGAAAGAAGTATAATATTTATAAAAATATACTACTTTTGTCCGGCTCCAAAGATCTCATTTACTTTTTAGATGTTGATCTTTGAATATTAATTATTATATCAAAATATAGTACAAATTAGAAAAAAATTGCAAAATTATTTTCAATAGTGTCTTGAATTAATAGAAGAACATTGGTAAATTTGTTTTTACAAATATAAAAATATTTTCAATGTTTAGCAAAATGATGCAAAATATAAATATGATCCTTAGAGGTAACCGGTGAGAATAAAATATATTTATGTTAATATTTTAACATTTTGAATAATGTTTATCTTTTTAAAAATATGGTATAAACACAAAGGAAGTGAAAATATGTAAAACAATTTTAATGTTTTCCTCATTTTATTTTTATGTATGCCTGCGAAATAATATATTTATAATTTATGTAAAAATTAAAAAGTAATATTTTTTAAGAGAATTTTACTTTTAATTTTATTATATATTATTTTTTTAAAAAAATATATCAATTCAAATATTTATTTTTTATATTAAACTAAAAAATAATTTTATATTTAAAATATCTCATAAATAGCAATTTACATAAATCTAATTTTATATTTAAAATATCTCATAAATACCAATTTACATAGATCATACATATATTTCAATTAAAAAAAATTTTAATATTCAAATTCTAAATCCAAAATTCCAAACCCAAACAAACAATATTTTGGTAGATTATTTAAGAGGGATTAAGAAAAAATATTTAATGAAAATAATTAAATGAAAGTATAGTTTCACACTTCCCCAGATTGCAGGTTCCTATAGCACCAGCAAATTGACATTCACAAACTCCCGGGCTCTCAACTCCCAAACGTCAGATCCTCCCCTTCCACGGTCTAGATCAGTCCCGTCCTTGAACTCCAGGGCGTAAACCAAACCAACCCTCTTCCGCTTTCTCCAACGCTGTTTTTTGACCAAAATAAAAATGAAGGAAGAAGACAGCCTCTGTATCTGTACTGTAAGTACAAAATTCATATATACGATGCGACGCATCCCTTCGTGTGTCTCTAAAAAATACATCTCAAAAAAAAAATAAAAAAATACATACACATATATATATATATGTATATATCGTCGTGTTTAGATGATTAAAGTCTGTTGTTGCTTTTAAGCTTTGTTATGCAGAATCTATTCTGGTTTAGCCATAATCACCTCTTTCCTTTGCCCCAAATCATTTATAATCGAAAAAATGGAGTGACTTTTCAGCAGTAGCAGTAAGGTAATAAGCTTCCTTTATCCCTCCCATGGACGTGTCCGAAGCTACTCAGATAGTGATGTCGAGGATCCGCAATTTGGATCCTCAAAACGCTTCGAAAATCATCGGCTATGTTCTGATTAACGGCCATGGCGACAAGGACATGATTCGGCTGGCCTTCAGCCCCGACGCTCTTCTGCAGGCTCACGTCGACCAGGCCAAGGCCAGCCTCGGCCTCGCCGCCGCGAGAATCGATAATGGCGGTTTCCGGCACGGCGGCGGGAGGGAGGAGCTTTTCGGGGACCGGCTGCAGCTGTTTCGTGAGGTGGATCCGTTTGTAATGAGGACTGATTCTTTGATTTTTCCGGTTGGGGAAGAAGGGGGGTTTTATTACAGGCCTTGTCTGTACTACGCGAGGGGGTTCTGTAAGAACGGCAGCGCCTGCAAGTACTTGCACGGCGGCGCCGGCGCCGGCGGAATCGACGATGTGGTGCTGAGAATGAAGGCGATTCAGCAGCAGCACCACCACCGGATTCCTCCTTTTCATTACAGCAAGTGGTTTAACGATTATCCGAGGTAAAATTAAAACCTAATTTGAATGTTCTTGTCTAGGAGATTCGATGATTTGATTCGTTTCAGGGGTTCATCGGACAGTGCTCGACAGATTTACCTGACATTTCCGGCGGACAGTACTTTCAGGGAGCAAGACGTCTCTAATTACTTCAGGTAGTAATTAAAGATTCAAATTTTATCGACATTTCATAGCTTAATTACTTAATGATTGATGATCGATTGTACTAACTATGGATTGATTCGATTTGAAGCATGTTTGGACCGGTGCAAGATGTTCGAATTCCTTATCAACAAAGACGAATGTTCGGATTTGTGACCTTTGTCTATCCGGAGACGGTTAGGCTCATTTTGGCGAAAGGGAATCCGCATTTCCTCTGCGATTGCCGCCTCCTCGTCAAGCCTTACAAGGAGAAGGGGAAAATTCGGGACAAGTAGTGTCTTAATTGGTTCAGCTTATGTTGTTATAACGGTTGCGAATTCGCGCTTTTGCTTATGTCTATAGCTTTTGTTTTTTGACTGAATTCGAGTTGTAGGAAAATGCAGCATGGGGAGAGAGTCGATTATGGCGAGAATTTGGAGTCCCCTTTCGGTAGTTTTACTTACTTGCATTGATTGAATTCGATGATATTGTCCGTTTGAATGATTCAAGTTATTACAAGAGTTTCGGTTTTTTTTACCTTTTGTGAAGGTTCTAGAATGCCGGTAGAGTTTGAAGGCCCGAGCTCGGTTCCTTCGTTTGCGAAGAACATGGAGATGTGCGAATCAGGTGTCTGATTTTTGATCGGAAATTAAAACTGTTCTTCGTAGCGATTCGATGTTGTTGTGTTCTAACATGATTTTTGTTTTGGACCGGCCTCGATTGATCTAATCAGGTGGCGATAGAGAAGTAGAAGAAATTGGTTTGTATGCCGGGGAAGGAGTCGGCGCTTCGATGGAGAACGATGCAATCGATGGTGGAGATCAGCCGCGCCAGCCTAATGGCGACGGCTCAGATCTTCCGGAAAGGTTCGACGGCGATTGCGTCGGCTTACAAATGGCTAGCTTGAAAATATAAGACAAGTGCAAGTTTTAGCCTTGGAAATTTTCCTATGTTTGGACCTTAGGCGTCACCCGTTTGCGATAGTATATCTTGGCTTGCGTTAGCTTTCCATTTAAAAAAATATTGAAGAATCGATTGAATTATCGAAGAATTAATTAGTTATAGTTATAGCTGAATTTGGTGAAAAAAAAAATATATTCTTGAATATAATTAGGGAAATATTATTTCAATATTAAATTTAAATTAAATCTTTTGAAGCCTTTACCAAAGAAAATCGACAAAAAAGAAAAAGGTATTTTCTGGATATCATAATAATAATAATATTAACAGCAAAAAGTGATGGAACACAAGTTTAACCAATGATCTGATGCAGAATCCAAAAGGGGTAAAAAAGTAAATAAATAAATTGCCTGTTTATTAGTGGGGCATTATCAGCATAAATATATATATTTATATACTTTTCGCCTCACAATAAAATATTTATTTTTCTATTTTAGTTTGTTATATAATAAAATATATATATATTTTTTTTAGTAATAGTACTATCTACTTAACATTACAAATACCCTTAACAACTTTCAATATATTACACAAATGTCATTACTTTTTATATCACATAATACTAATAAGGTTATTTTAGTCATTTCTATTTTATTCTTACTACATTCTAATATAATACTAATATTTTTAAACCTTATGAAAAAAAACAAATAGATACATAGTTATGAGAAGAAAAGAGTATAATATATACATACAATTTCATTAAAAGCAGGTAGGAAGAGAGATGGGGACAATAATTACACAAGAAATGCCAAAATATAGAGAAAAAATATATATACATATACTTTCTCCGTCCCATCTGAATTTAACCCTTTGATGAGAGACACGGTATTTACGATAAAAATATTTAATCAGTTAATAATAATTAGTTATGATATTAATTTTTTGTATAATTAATAATATTTATAGTTTTAAAATAAATTCAATATATATAATTAAAAAAAATTAAAATATTTATCTAAATATTTAATAATTATATAGCAATTAAAAAATATATACAATATGAATATTATTTTGTAGAGAATAAAATTTTCTATTATAAAAGTAAATAAAAAAATATTTTTGTTTATTTATAATTAATATAAATCAATTTTATAAAAGATGTGTAGTTTTAGATATAGATAAAAATAATTATTTTTGTTCTAGGAGAGAGATAGGAATAAAAGGGTTTTGAGTGGATCATACGTCATTTATGATATTGTATGTTATGTAGTTAATTAAGTTGATTTATATTTGTGTTGATGCAATTTTTCAACAAAAATAAAGTAAAATTCAAAGATATAGAAAATATCCTTAAACTTGATTAATTAGTGTCTGAGATTAGGAATCTCTAAACACTGTATGGTACAGAAAATAAACTGGAAAATAAAAGACTGAAATTTAAAGTGGTGATCCCCAAATCTGACTTTGCTTTGTTGAAGTTGATTGAAGATGCCTTGCCAAATGATGATCCAAATCCTTAAATATTCTTTGAAGAAAAAGTTCAGAACCGTCGTCTGGTCAGTTACCATAACCGTTGTTAACCGCCCCAAAAGTTCTCTTCTATTGACACGTGTGTCAACCGTTCTACTACGTCCGACCTTCAAAAAACCGTTCGCCAGTTGCAACTTCCTCTAACCGCCCCAGAACTGCTCTCTCACCCGACCTGCACATGCTACTTCACTTGGTCCGAACTTCGTATCACGTCCTGACCTCAATGCCCGACCTGCTTCTTCGCCCGACATCATTTGGGCCGACCTCCGCATCAGCCGCCCTCCGTCTTTGACCGACTTTAATTGGTCCGACCATGGACCAACCAAATGTGGTCCCGACCACGGACCAACCGACCGGCTCTATTTGCCTTATCTCTTTAGAAGGACAGACTGTCCTCTGGACAGACTTCCGCATCTGTCCGTACCTCTTCCTTGCCCGACCTTTCTCTTGACAAACCTTCGCGTCTGCCCGACTTCGTCTTTCACCCGATCTACGGTTTACCCGACTTGGGTACACCTTTTTTCAGACTCCGCCCGACCTTTCTTCCTTCCCGATCCTTGCATCTGTCCGATTGCACCCTACTTCTGGGTCATTTAACTTATATCCAGACCCGTCCAGAATCCCACTGCCATTATTTATTATTATTATTTTTTGTGCTTAACAATTTGTTAAATATATTTTGATTTTATAATTTTTACCAAAAATAGAAACGTGTCAATTTTAACTAGACAGACAAAAATTGAAATTATGTCAATTGTGATGGAACGAAAATAATATATATTTATATTTAATGTTTTTGTTTTATTTATTATATTTTGCATGCATAAATAAATATGAAAGTAGTAGTAAATAAATAATTTGAAAATTTTGGTTTATATTTACACGTATGTTTTGGAAATTCTTCCATTATCATGTCGGAGATAATAGCCGTTTTGTCGGTTTATTATTGTTAGATAATATAATAATTATTGTCAGATAATTGAATTTACCATGTGGATGTGGTTTATTATTCTCTCCGTCCCATATAATTTGTCTCTATTTTTTATTTTTGTCCATTTCACATAACTTGTTTTTTTTATTTTTAGAAATATAACTATGCACTTTAGTCGCACTTTAAATTTTAAAATTTATAATTTTCTTAATTTTAATTAAACTATTTACTTATTTTAATATTAATTTATAATTTGTTAAGCACAAAAAATAATAATAATAGTAAGTGGCAGTAGGATTCTGGGTAGGGTCTGAATGAAAGCCAAAAGGTCTGGAGGTCGGGCAGAATAAAGGTCGGGAAAAGGAAGAAAGGTCGGGCGGAGTCTAAAAAAAAAGGTGTACCCAAGTCGGGTAAACCGTAGATCGGATGGAAGGCGAAGTCGGGCAGACGCGGAGGTCTGTCAAGAGGAAGGTCGGGCAAGGAAGAGGTACGGACAGACGCGGAGGTCTGTCCAGAGGACAGTCTGTCCTTCTAAAGAGATAAGGCAAATAGAGCCGGTCGGTTGGTCCGTGGTCGGGACCACATTTGGTTGGTCCATGGTCGGACCAATTAAAGTCGGTCAAAGACGGAGGGCGGCTGATGCGGAGGTCGGCCCAAGTGAGGTCGGGCGAAGAAGCAGGTCGGGCGAAGGACGAAGTCGGGCAAAAGAAATTTGGCAGTGGACAGGCAGGTCGGGTAAGAGGCAGGTCTGAGTTCTGTGACTGATGGGAACGGTTGAAGGAAGTTGTAATACGTGTCAATAGAGGAGAAATTGGTGGTCGGTTGACAGCGGTTGCTGTAACCGACCAGACGGCGGTTCAAACCGTTTTCTCTGAAAGGCTATTTAAAGGATTCAAATCCGTCAGAAAAGGCATCTTCAATCAACTTCAACAAAGCAAAGTCAGATTTGGGGATCACCACTTTAAATTTCAGTCTTTTATTTTCCAGTTTATTTTCTGTACCGTACAGTGTTTAGAGATTCCTAATCTCAGGCACTAATTAATCAAGTTTAAGGATATTTTCTATATCTTTGAATTTTACTTTATTTTTGTTGAAAAATTACATCAACAAATTGGCGACCACAGTGGGAGCAAGACACAATTGCTCATTCCAATTCCGGCGATAATTTCATACGTCTTAGATCCGGCCGAATCATCGGAAGGGTCCATATGGCAGGTTCACAACCGCAATCATCTTCGGCACCGGCGGGAGAATCCGTTCCACCACCTATTGTGCCAAATGCCGGGGAAAACCCACAACCACCAACTGATTGGTGGTCTTATGTTCAACAAATGAACAACCAGCATACTTTGGTTATGCAGAATATGTTGCGTGAGCAACAAACGAACTTGTTGCGTGAACAACAAAATCTAATGCAAAACATGTTGGATCAGGCATTCTCCAGATTCACCCTGTATCCAAACATGCTTCCAGCCGTGTCACCTTCTCGTTTTCAGGCGACTTTCTCAGGATCAACGTTTGCAGAACCATCATACGTTGACAGTACGTTTCCAAGCGTTACAACTTTCAACCGAACAGATATGGGGAAGATTCCTCTAACTTTCCCAGATAATGTTCCTTTGGGACCGAGGGTTGATAATACCCAGCCGAATGAGAGATTAGGAGGACAGACTCATAATCCCATTCCAACCGAACCAGCCTTCTCTAGAGAAGAAAGGTTGGAGGGACAGACTCATAATCCCTTCCCAGCCGAACCAGCCTTCTCCAGAGAAGAAAGATTGGGAGGTCAGACTCACGATCACATTCCAGTGTTCGACCATATTCCACCCAGAGTAGACCCGGAGGATATTGCTCAAGTTCTGCAGGTGCATTTCGGAATGAATCCGCAAACGGTGAACAGGCCGGTTTACCAGAGGCCATTTCCAGAAAGGATCATTAACGATCATCCTCTCCCGAGAAATTATAGGCCACCAGACTTCAATTCTTTTTCGGGAGAAGACGGAGCCTCTACCATTGAGCATGTGGGTCGCTTCACGGCTCAATTGGGAGAAGTAGGCAACAATCCGTTTCACAAGTTACAATTGTTTGGGTTGTCGCTCACAAGAACAGCTTTTTCTTGGTATGTCAGTCTGCCGCCTGGACAGTTGCAAACTTGGGAAGATTTAGAGGCAGATTTTCATGGAAGGTTCTTTAATCCTCTGCCGACAGTCTCACTGATAGACCTTCTGGAGATCACGCAGATGCCGGAAGAGACCGGCTACCAATTCATAGAGAGGATGCGATTGATGAAGGGACGATGTCCTACGATGATCAATGAAAGCGAAATGACCAATTTGGTGGTCAGGAACATGCATACCAGACTTCGCGAGGCCCTGACAGCCCACGACTTTCAAGATCTGGCCAGTTTAGCATCCACGGCAAGAAGGTTAGAATCCTTTTTTACAGAAAATAATCATGACTTCCGTCAGGGGGGAGATGCTGAAGAGATGGTAGTGCAAAATCAATCAATGTGCAGACCACCACCAGTCCGCGATAAATGGAGGTCGGGTCCAACGTAGCCTCAGAAGATGGAGGTCGGATCTGAGGCTGACGTAGCCTCGGATGCTGACCTGCAAACTCCTAAAACATCACTGAAAGTGATGTTTAGGAGTCTTGAGGAGGAGGCTTATTGTTAAGCACAAAAAATAATAATAATAGTAAGTGGCAGTAGGATTCTGGGTAGGGTCTGAATGAAAGCCAAAAGGTCTGGAGGTCGGGCAGAATAAAGGTCGGGAAAAGGAAGAAAGGTCGGGC